TCGCATTTAGAAGATATAAGCATTCAAAGCTTGCAGTTCGTCACTTCCGCCAAAACGGCTCAGTGATTTTTTTGACGTCACATCGTACTTCAGCTTCTCATCAAACTTTCTGTCCAATCAAATGCTCTCTAGAATCCGAAGCCCCGCCCCCTACACTATAAAATAGACGCTGAAGCCGCGGCTGAAATCGGTCACTTGTCCACAGAATTAATATTTTCTGTACAGTGAATGGCACGTAGTGCACTATATAGGGGACAGGGAACGATTCAAACAGTGTAAATATGCTTTCCATTGAGTCTGGTTTGGCGCTGTGTCACGCTAACCACCGCACCGCGCACACACTCTGCTCCGGTCCAGAGACACGATAGCACGGAGCGGATCACATGCGTGAGTCGCCGCAGACCACTAAATGTATTGGAGCTATTTGAATTCTACACAGAATGCTGTATTTTATAGCAATATGGATGAGATTGTGGCTGGCATACCCTGCGGCTTTACGGAGCTCAACGGCTCTGAACGGCTCTAGCCCAAGCTGTGATATAAACAAACGCTATTGGCTATTTTAAAAAAGGGGTGGGGCTGCTTGATATGTCCCACCCTGTTTTCCTGTTTCAGTTAAAATGACGTCAAACACATAGAGTAAAGCTGCGTGTTTCTAAGCATTTCAGGGGACCTTTAAAGGAATTTTCCTGGTTCAGCACAAGTTGAGCTTCTGTGGCCTGCTTTCCTTTATCACAGAAATGATTCAGCCTTGTGAAAACAAACAAACATAAATCAAATTAACAGTAATGTTCTTACACGGCAGATACATTATTTACTTAGCATTTTTGTCTTGTTTTCCAGTACAAATATCTAAAAATGGTTAAATCAAGATACATTTACTTGAGAAGCAAAATGACAGAAATTTAAGCAAGTTTATCCTTAAAACAAGAAAAAATATCTGCCAATGGGGTTAGAAAAAGAAACTATAGTTTCCCCTTTTTGAATTAAGTTTATTTTTCTGATCCCATTGGCAGAATTTTTCTTGTTTTAAGCTTAAACTCACTTAATTTTCTTACATTTCTCAGAAAATAAGACTTAATATCTTATGTCATGTTTAGAAATTATTTATAGTGGTAAACAAGATAAATATACTGAGTAAGAAAATAATTTTATCAGTGTATAATGAAAGTCGTGCACTGGAACAAATGTTAAAATACTGTTTCAAAAGCCACAACATTTACATTATAATGAGTCTAGTGTGATAAAATCACTTATTAGCTTATCTATTCAAAGTTATATGAACTTTTTGTTTACAATAATGTATAAAGCATTTAAACTCCATAATTTGAGCAGAAAACCAGCAAAGTTAACATGAAGGGATGAGATGTAACTATTCACAAAATACTGTTAAATGGAAAATGTTGGAAATGCATGAATAAATTTATCCATCTAGAAAAGTAGTCTCCTCACTAAACGGATGGTTTACACAACTTTACAGCTCACATAATACAGAATAATTAATATAAGCTAAAACACATCCAGCGCAGGCCACAGAAGCTGTTCGTAGAGATGAATCTGTATAGAACCCAGAACATTCCTGGGAAGATTTCCATGTTTTTTGTTTTTTTTTGTTAAAATATATTTCCGTCATGACAACTCTCGGAGGGATTGGCATGCTAATGTACATGACAATGTTAATGTATTTGGTCTTGGCGGAATAGATCTGCTACGCTGCTGCTGCTGCGGCAGAGCAAGTGCCGAGACTTGCTGCCAATACATCCACAGCATGCTACTGTGAGCATGTAAGAAATATTGCTGCTGCAAATATAACATACATGAAATAACCTCCATATAGCATACACGAATCACCTCGTAGCAGATCTATACAGGTGGAGCTGGGGAAGGTGGAGGGTTTCTGAAGCAAGCTGCAACTGCTACAGCAAGCACTTGTCTCATATTTGAATGTTGAGCAGCGAGCTCATTGGCTACTGATACAGGAGAGAACCAATCAGCTGTGCCATGTGATAATGATGTCATTAGGTCAGATTGAGTTAGACCTATCGGACTGCGCCATCTAGAGTTTCATGCCAGAACTCTGTATTTGTGCAAAATGTCCTCATATAAATAATTAGTTAATTAACAGATGCAACTTGTGGCAAATTTAAACGGATACTTTTTGTTGGTGTTTACCTTTAGATAATCTTTAGCAAAAGTTGATTCTTGAGACTGGTTGGCTACTGTATTTATGTGCCTTTTAGTTACAGTTTGCAGGTTTCGGATGACAATAATTAGCTGTGTATTTTTTTTTTTGGTCACAGATAAAATGTCAACATAGAAAGTAAAGAATATAAATATACAATATGTACAGTTCACTTAAGGTTGCAAGTATAAAACATCAGAAAAATGGTGACAAATAAAATCAATATTGTGTTATTATAAATATAATAAATGTAATGCTACACCGGCTTGTCCTCAAAGAATATCTGAGCGTACACCGTTCCTGTCTTTGCAGTTTTGGCTTCAGGCAGTGGCTTCATCAGTTCAAGCTCAGCGTATGTCAAACTCTCCTCTGCAATTTTGGGCTGTTGGTTCGGGACAACAGTAGAGTTACAGCTCACATAAAACTATTAAATACAACAACAGGCAGTTCTGCAGGACAACTAACAAATTACTCTGTATTTCTTTCAAGTAACTAGCAAGCTGCAACTGCTACGGCAAGCACTAGTCATATATTTGAATGTTGAGCAGCGAGCTCATTGGCTACTGATACAGGAGAGAACCAATCAGCTGTGCCATGTGATAATGATGTCATTAGGTCAGATTGAGTTAGACCTATCGGACTGCGCCATCTAGAGTTTCATGCCAGAACTCTGTATTTGTGCAAAATGTCCTCATATAAATAATTAGTTAATTAACAGATGCAACTTGTGGCAAATTTAAACGGATACTTTTTGTTGGTGTTTACCTTTAGATAATCTTTAGCAAAGGTTGATTCTTGAGACTGGTTGGCTACTGTATTTATGTGCCTTTTAGTTACAGTTTGCAGGTTTCGGATGACAATAATTAGCTGTGTATTTTTTTTTTTGGTCACAGATAAAATGTCAACATAGAAAGTAAAGAATATAAATATACAATATGTACAGTACACTTAAGGTTGCATGTATAAAACATCAGAAAAATGGTGACAAATAAAATCAATATTGTGTTATTATAAATATAATAAATGTAATGCTACACCGGCTTGTCCTCAAAGAATATCTGAGCGTACACCGTTCCTGTCTTTGCAGTTTTGGCTTCAGGCAGTGGCTTCATCAGTTCAAGCTCAGCGTATGTCAAACTCTCCTCTGCAATTTTGGGCTGTTGGTTCGGGACAACAGTAGAGTTACAGCTCACATAAAACTATTAAATACAACAACAGGCAGTTCTGCAGGACAACTAACAAATTACTCTGTATTTCTTTCAAGTAACTTACCAAAACCACTTTTCTGGGTTGAGGTTTTAAAAGCTTCGGCTTTCGCATTTTGTCTGCAATAGGGGCTGAGATGGAATATGTTATTATTAAACTAAGATTTATATACTTCAGAAATAATGAATAGTGACATATAGAGGTCATTTTGGGAATGTTACTTTACCTTTAGCCGGTATCTCTGGTGGCAGGTCTGGCTGCTCCACACTTTTATTTTTCTTGTACTTTCTCACCTTCTTGGGTAGAGCCGGAGAGAGACTGACAACAATAGTGACTGTCTCGCCTGAACTGGACACATGAATATGCTCTCAGTTTGTGAAGAAGGTTCTCCTTCTCATCTACAGTTATAATTTTTCATGTTTTCTCACCTGTTCTGTGAACTCTTGACCAAATGATAGTTTTCTATCAAAAAGGAGCATATGAAAAAATGTTGATGAGCAGACTTTATAATTAAGATCATTAGAAGCATCACATTCAAGGAATAGTTCATCCAAAAATGAAAACACACAAGAGCTAGACGAGTTTGTTTCTTCATGGGAACAGATTTGGAGAAATGTAGCATTGCATCACTTGCTCAGCAATGGATGTTCTGCAGTGAATGGGTGCCGTCAGAATGAGAGTCCAATCAGCTGATAAAAACATCACAATAATCCACAAGTAATCCACACTACTCCAGTGCATCAATGCCAGCCTTGCAAAGCCAAAAGCTTCATGTTTGTAAGAAGCAAACCAACATTAAGACGTTTTTAACTAAAATACAAGTCCATAATCCTTAACGCTTCCTCCAGGGAAAAGGTCCATCTCCTGTTGTCTTCTCATATCAAAATCTACTCGCATATTTGTTTAGAGCTGTTGCTTGATCTGTGCAGATTTCTCTCCTGATTCAGACTAGACCTCGTATTTTTGTTAAAAAACATTTTAATGATGGATTTGTTTCTTACAAATACGCAGCTTTTCACTTCTCAAGACAGTAACTAATGTACTGGAGCGGTGTGGATTACTTGTGGATTATTGTGATGTTTTTATCAGCTGTTTGGACTCTCATTCTGACGGCACCCATTCACTGCAGAGGATCCATTGCTGAGACAGTGATGGAATGCTAACTTTCCAAATCTGTTCTGATGAAGCAGCAAACTCTTGTATGACCTGAGAGCGAGGACATTTTCAGCAAATTTTCATTTTTGGGTGAACTGTTCCTTTAATTGTTATCAGACAACAGCTAGAATCATACCTTTTAATCGTCTCTTCCTCTGCAGATACTGACAGCTCACAACTATAGTGAACATGCACATGCACAAGAGCCCAACACAACACACCAGCACAGCACACAGATACACATCTGAAACACAAGAAAAATACACTTAATGAAACTGAAATACATGCATGCTCCATGTTCATTCTGAATAACCTTGTTATATTGATTATCCATATCCTGGCAAAAAAGAGGAAAAATTATAAAAGCATTTAAAGAAAAACTAAACTAAATTTCACCTAAAATTGAAATTCTGTCATTTACTCATCACTTTTCTTTATTTTTAACCAATCTTCTCCAATATGAACAGGTTTGATGTCAATGCTGTTTGGTCGAGAAACACATAGGAACCAGTGACATTTAATGTCACTGATGTCAAACCTTACATAAAGTGTACTACTTAAAGGGTTAGTTCACTCAGAAATGAAAATTAGCCCATGAATTACTCACCCTCAAGGCATCCTAGGTGTATATGACTTTCTTCTTTCAGACAAATCCAATCGGAGTTATATTAAATATTGTCTTTGATCTTTCAAGTTGTTTAATGGCAGTCAGCAGGTGTTGCAGAGCATCAGTCCAAAAGAAGTGAAATAAAGCACATCCATTCATAATAAAAATTGTCTCACACGGCTTGTGGGGGGGTAAACAAAGGCCTACTGTAGCGAATCGATGTGTTTTTGTAAGAAAAATATCTATATTCAAAACGTAATAATCACTTTAATGTAGCTTGCGCCAACAGTTGTACACAGAAGCAGTTCCGGGCGGATGACGTATGAGGTCGGCGATGCGCCGGTGAGTCTCGTGAAAACCAACATTTGTTTACAGAAGCAAAGGAAGCAAAGTTTCCTTACTTTAGCAAAGGAAAGCCAGTCTCCTCTTGGCTTATGTCGAAATCCTCCGACATTCTTCCTTACAAATCCTCGTTTTGTACTTCTAATTCGTGACCGTTGTTTTGTTTTGATCTCTCCGCTGCGCTTCCGCGTTCGTCACTTCTGAGCGGCGCATGCGCAACGCCGACCTCATACGTCATCTGCCCGGAGCTGCTTCCATGTACAACAGTGAGCGCAAGCTAGATTAAAGTGATTATTAAGTTTTGAAAATTGATATTTTTCTTTCAAAAACCCATCGATTCGCTACAGGCGGCCTTTGTTGTCCCCCCGGAGCCGTGTGAGAGACTTTTTATTATGGATGGATGTACTTTATTTAACTTCTTTTGGACTAATGCACTGCAACACCCGCTGACTGCCATTAAACAGCTTGGAAGATCAAATACAATTTTTAATATAACTCCAATTGGATTTGTCTGAAAGAAGAAAGTCATATACACCTAGGATGCCTCGAGGGTGAGTAATTCATGGGCTAATTTTCATTTCTGGGTGAACTAACCCTTTAAGCATCTCAATTTAAATTTGGCAAATAATTCTAATTTGATAACACTTTAGAGTAATGGACCGTCATTAATAGATTAATAATAGTGATCTGGACCAAGTACTGATTACCTCAGTCCTAAATTTGCTACTGTATTCCTTACTGATTAGGTAAGGTTATTAAATTTTAGTTAATAGTAGGAATTTAATACTATTAGTAATTAGTAATGCATTTTTTGGTCCATGTTCACAATAAAAAAGACAATTGCTAGTAACTCAGACATGTTAATGTTGTGATTATTAATGAATTAGTAATTCTTAATGGTTCTTAATAGTTTAATAGTTCTTAATAAACTGATCTCATTCAGCAATTATTGATTAACAAATAATGAGCTGTCCTAAATATGCTATTTCTTTCTGATAAGTTAATCATGATTTCATATTAGCGGTAGCTGAAGTGTTAATGTAGTGCTACTCATTAGTCCTGTGTTATTTATCTATTAATGTCAGACCGTACAGTGTTACCAATAATTTAAGAAATGTCTGTTATATTTTTTCCCCCACACAAAGCTATTGTAATAACTTCAGAAGATTTCTAATATAGTGACTGTTAAACATACTGTTTCTCCTCTATGTCCCGCCTTTCTGAAACTTGTCGATTTTTACATAGCTCATCAGTCTGAAAAGCGAGGTGTGCTCTGATTGGCCAGCTATCCAGTGCATTGTGATTGGCCGAATACCTCAAGCGTGTGACCTTAACCACTGATTTCTAGAAGTGTCCTCTTTTGGAAGGACAAACAAAGTAGTTTCACTTTCACAACGAAACACATAGCGGGCTAGAGTGAGCGGAGGCGGGCTGGCTTGAGAACGGCGCGGCCGGTGGATTCGACGAAGGTGCGTCCGGCGGGATTTCGGCAACCACATGTGACGACCCCCGGCTGGACTCCGCTTCGTATTTCCTCAGCGACCAGCACGGATCAGCTCCAGGCATGACGAAGCGGATATCGTCCTCTTTTGGAAGGCCAAACAAAGTAGTTTCGCTTTCACAACGAAACACACAGTGCCTTCACGACATGGCAGCGGCAACAACAATACTACAGCGAGAATAAAAGTTACGCCTTCTTTCTTTGCGTGAACATTTAGGCGGCGTTATGCAAATCTTCCCACATAGTGACATAGATATCTTCTTTATGCACCAAGAGCTTGTAACACTCCAAAGAGAAAGAAAAAATTTTAATCACATCATATGACCCCTTTAATGGAATAAGCGAAAAGAGAAGAGGGGGCATTATTGGGAATCGGGAATTGTTTGATTTGCTAACCGCTAGACCACAGAAACAGCAGGTTGACTAACTTATTTAAGTAATTAGTTATTGTCTTATTTAGAATCTATTGTTGCGTTTGACACAGAATTAGAATGTAGAACATGTACGGTATTTCCAGTTGTCTATGCATTCTTATTAACCACACTGTAAATGTCTTCTGCTTTTTCTGCTTGCACATGGACTAGTATTTATTTCTCTATTCATGGCTCCTGCAGAAATGTGCTTATTTTTGGAGCTCTTGCTCATGCCTGACTGAACAGGGGAGGGACAAAAGCTCTATTGAGTCATATGGCTAAAAAAAAAGAGCCAGATACAAAATCTTCAGTGGTTTACTGAAGGCTTCTGTCTGGATGAACAGGATGCCAAAAGTCATTTGTTGAGGACCTCACAGATGCATGAATAGCGATGCATGTTTCAATAGAGCAGCTGCATCAATTGACATATTAATGATTTCACTGCACCACCACAGTGCATTCAGCTATGAAAGGAAGTAGTGAATATATGGAAGTGTATAAAAAGTTGAGAATTTAAAGTGAACAACATTTTCCTCTGTCTTTGCAATATGAATGATCACACTCTATGAAAAATGGCCACAACAAAAATGCATAAATAATACAACCCATTTACTTCAAACCTAGTTTTTTTTCCCCCTACAGAGACAGCCTTCAATAAAAGTTTTTTTGATTTGCAGCACATTCTGTCAAGACAAGAGTCATACAAAACATCTGCCTACAGCATCGTCAAACCCACAAACATGGTCACTATTCGCTGCTTTCTCTGTGCTACTGTGCATTTAAATCTGCACCACATCCTCCCTCACATGGTTCTCCATACAAACACTGTCAGTGGAACATGTGATCATGTTTTAAGGGAAAGAAAGTTTTAAGCTTTGTGGTATGGCTTGGTTTTGAGATTACTTTACTTATCTCATTGGTTGGATGACCAGTTCATAAATTCTTATCTAAATTGAGTTGTTATGTTTAGTTATGTTCATGCATCAACTTAAATCATTCCCTACTAAGTAATTAGTAACAGTAGGGTCTTGTGCAATTGTGTGGATTAGTTTAGCCAGTTAGAGTCTAGGGTATCTGTGGATACAGTAATTACTGGATGTGGAGCTTTTATTTCCTACTGTATGTCATGTCATCATTATACTGTATGGCTTTTCATCCAGCTTTTTCAAGTAAACCTCATTTTAAAGTTAACATGAAATCAAAATGGATCCTGTTTACTTTATTAATGCAAGTTCTAGGTCTTATTTATCATGTGCTGCAAAAATTATTCCAAATAAAAAAAGTGTTTGTAATATTTTACTGAAATAGAACAACTTTCCTTTGCAGCTGACGTCATGAATCTCTCTTACTTTTCAATACCTCTGCTTGACTCTATTCTTATCAGTTTTCCCAATCATGATGGATAAAATATCCTGTTTCACTCACCAAATTATATATATATATATATATATATATATATATATATATATATATATATATAT